TTTTTTTCGGTATTCCAATGGCCCAAAAAAATCCGCGAACCTTTTTTTCTCTCAAAATCAAAAGTTTAGAAAAGCAAAAATGTGTATATTTAAATCATTTCAATCGAAATCTAAAATTTGATAAAGATTGAATCACAGAATCCCAGAAAAATCGCAAAATTGTAATGTGAAAATTTGCAATTTTCAGTTCTAGCATAATTTTTAAGGAAAAGTTGTTTTTTGATGGCTCTTCAGGTTTTAACTGAACAGCGTTTATTTAAAACTTTAGAATATACTAAGAAGAAAGGAAGTAGAGAATTTAAATAACTCCTTTATAGAAATTAGACCAGAACTGAAAATTGCGAATTTTCTTTTTCCAATTTTGCGAATTTTCTGTAATTCTATGATATGCTTTTCTGAACTTTTTATTTTATGAGAAAAAAGGTTCGCGGATTTTTTTTTGAGCCATTGGAGTACCAAAAAAATAAAATATTGAAAAAACACCATATAATAGAGTTGCGCAAAAAAGGTACAATTTTGCACCAGGCGCAATCACACTTTTTTTGACTCACCAACTGTATAATACGAACGGTATATGGATTTTCAAATATCTTATTTAATTGATTTAATGACAAAAAAACTAAAGACTAAATATTTAACGTTTTTATCAATATGTGAATGTTGAATTCTCTTAAAAACAATTAATTAAATTTTTTACGTTTATGACCTTATTTTTTATCTCTTAATTTAATTTCTCAACCCTTTCTCCACTGGACTGAATACTTTAATTCCTTTTAAATCCAGATATTGATATCTAAACAATAAATTTCACATTTTTTATTCTAAAAGACAATTGGGATCTTTTGTTAGAAGCAACAAAATAAAGAATTTGTAATAATCTAAATATTTGTGTTTAAGACATCCAGTTGACTTGTATTGTAGAATAGTCAGCAATTGGAGTTCATTTTAAAAGGTTCGATTTGTGCGTATTCAATAAAAACTGATTTACTTCACGGGAACATCTGCAAAGAAACGTGCAAAACGCCTTGTAACATTTTTGTAATATGGTTTAAAGGTAAAGTGAGTTACAAGAAAATGGTCAAAAATCATTGGCGAATCGTGTAATAACGTGGATCCACTCTACATTATCTTTGGAGAAATATAATACCAGAGATTCTGTATAAAGTATAATGTAGCAAAATACATATTAGTCTAGAAGAAAATGCATGAATATACATTATTTTTCCTAGGATTTTCTAAATTTTTCATGGTTACAGCTGTGCAAAATAGAAATACAATGACACACACAAAGAATAATTTAAATATACCACCCATGGCCGAATTTAAAGAATTTGAGCGGCGGTTTAAATCTAAGCCGCGGTTTAAATATTGTTGGTTCCACTTAAAATTGTATCAAATGTTTCAAGATTTAAGCCGGCGTTTAATTTAAACCGGGTTTTGGCGGATTTAAACCGCGGCTCAAATTCTTTAAATTCCATCTCAAGTTAACTACACACTTTCCAACTAGACAGAAGGCCAAATTCATGAAACATTACTATTTCGAGTTTGTAACCAGGTAACTCCTCTAGGTTTGATTTTACTAAATATGAGAGAAGCAAAGGTAGTGCGTCTTTGCCGCTAACTCGAATTTTCTAATTTCTAAATCTTTGAAACCTGATGGTGTAAACTATTTGTATTTCAAACTTAGACTTTTTGATCCAAAAGAATTCACATTTTGAAATATGGTCTACGACGCTGGGTTCCAACGTATTGGGATTCAAAATCTGAGTTTGTGGCAAAGAATAAATTTTTTCCGACTATCGTTTTTAGTCGGTCACTCCCTTTAGTAAGAGGAATTATAAGATTTTAATAGTAGCCTAGTAGGTACAATTTACTTTAGCTTATCCTTGTAATAAAAGTTAAATTTTCAGAGTGCAGAAACTTTTATTTTAGAAAAATACTAAATTTAATCCATAATATATAAAGTCTAAAACTTTTATTCTTCATGGATTACCATTTACCCTACAGTGAGAACCAGAAAAATCTAGAGTAGGAATACGACTGTTAGACTCAAGTTATGAATTTATAAATAGTCCAATGAATATGTGACACAGCAATTGTGCAGTGTAGACAGACCCATTTCACGAAGTAGGTGGTTTAATAAGTCTCTGTTAACCCTATGCTTTGTAACAACATCGATTTAGTCTTCCTTTTTTTGGTTTTTTGGTTCTTACCGTTCTAAAATAAAAATTTTAATTCGAATTTAATGATTAGAAATAACGCTTTAAGAATTGTCTTTTCAGCACACCAAATATTTTATTTTTAACACAAAATTAAAAATATTTCGTCCGTCCTAAGAAGCTGAGATCTTGAAACAAATATTGTTCAGTTTTCTGAATTTTGAGGAATATTGACAAAATTATGAGATTATTAGGGATACAATTAGTTTTCACGACTCTACAGTCTACAGATTCTACAGTCTACACACAGACAACATTCTACAGTCTCTACAGTCTACACACAGACAACATTCTACAGTC